TGGGAACAGGCACCTGTGTTCCTAGAACACAGGAAGGACATTTAAAAGCCCTACTTAAAAGCAGCAGCCCTTTGCTGCCTCTGACAGTCCAGCCCACCCTCCCATTGGCCAGTGCATCTTACCTGGCAGGTGTGTAACTGTGGGCCCTGTGTTGTTTCATGGGCTATGGGAATCTGCACATCTTCGGGGGTAGAGAGCAGGGTATAATATTGACATTAATTTTTAAAGGTAAAACAAAGACATCAAAGAAAATTGTTCTTTATTCCCCTCGCAGGACGTTGCCCCAGACTCTTTCATGGATGTTTATTTTTCTTTAAAGTGTTCTTTGAGGAGCACATTTGAGAAGCAGCTTGACAGCCCATTTCAATTGCTGGTCCTTGATCACTTCCAGGTATTTCTATGCTCCGTTGGCCCTTAATACAGGTCTCAAAGTTTTTTAGCCCCTTTTGCTTTGAAGACCTATCTTCCAGCGAGGATCCATTCCCTCTTGCACCTGTCCTGGGCTGGCTTCACCTTCATAGCCTGCTTACAGAGCTCCAGCCTCCCGCCCTGGCAGCAGGCAGCCCATACTGGGTAAGCCTGCCCATGTGTTTGAAGAGAGGCATTGAATTAGAATTATCTGTGCATTCATTTGTCTTCCATGTCGGACTGCAAACCCCTGAAAGGGAGAGCCTGTTTCTTTTTCTTTTCTTTTTGGTCACGGTATCTTATATTTAGTAACAGTACAATAAACATTGATTGAATGGATGAATGAATTAAATATTATCTAAATAGATTTTTAAGGAATTTGGATGTCCTTTAAATGAAAATGCCATGTATACATTGGCCTACTTAATTATTTCAGTTTAACAGTGCTCTCAAACATGTGGCAATAAATTTGCAGTCTAGATGCTCCCAATCATAGTATTTGATCCAACCAAGTAAATGGTTCTTTAGCCACTTTTTTGCCTCTTTCATTCTCAGTGACATTTAGACTGTGTGTGTATCGCACTTGGAATTCTTGAATGTATTGCGAGCACTGATTCAGGAATGTGTGTTCTAGCATGTTCTCTTCAGCAGAACGGTGTTCTTCTTCATTTATTGGGATTCTGCTTAACATTGCATTGGAAAAAAAGGTCTCACCTAGAAACCATTCCCTGTTCTACAAGCTAATGCTTTTCAGACCATTTTTGCTGAGTTAGAATCCCAGTCTTGTCTCTTATAAGCATGGCTGTTGCCCGTGAGGGCGGCCAGGTGGGTCCTTGATAGCATCTGTGTGTCAACATGGGTTTGGAATCAGTGCCAACTCTAGGGCCTTTCATAGCACTGAGTCTTCAAATTTCTTTGCTTGTAGACTCGTCGGCTGAGATTTCTAGGGAAGGCTGTCACACAGGCAAGGACCCTATCTCCTTTCTCCTCCTCCTCCTCTTGCTATCATGCGACAGGCCGTAGTTCGGTTTCTACACCATGGCTCTGTATCAACTTCTAGTATTTGAGAGGAGATATTTGAACCATTTACTACAAGTCCTGATTATCTTAGTATTTCTCACTGGTATACCCAACTTCTTATGCTTATTTTAGCATGTCAGTACCTGAGAAATGTAAGGAGTTTTAAAGCTGCTTTTTTTTTTTTAAAGTATTCAATAGATTTACAGGTTGTGCAATCATCACCACTATCCGTTTCCAGAACTTTTTTCTCATCCCAATCAGAAAAGCATTCTTATTGTCACTCCTGCACATCTTCTCGGGTGCCTCCACACAGTTTCTAGTATTTGTGAACCGGAAGGGTCCAGCTCTTTAAGATCATCTGTTGCCCAGCCTCCTGCCTGGAAGCCACAGTTTCAACCAGTTTTTTCCTTGTTGGTACAGAACAACGTTCTATCCATAATAACCCTTAGTATACTTGAAGATAACTAAGTCATTCAATAGCTGTTTATTCCTCAGTGAAACACCTCATTTCCTTTCATCTTTCCTTGTTCCTGTAATATTTTTGTTGACTTTTTCATTATCTCCTTAAGTTTCTCAGCAGCCTCTTTAAAATAATACAGAACCAGAAATGATGCTATAATAAAGTCGACCAATACTGAATATAGTGGTGGAATTGTCCCTTGTGTTTGTAAGATTCTGTCAGTCCTTCTGTGGAGGTGGGTTACCAAGTGTAAGTGCGGTGCCCCGGGTGAAGGATTGGGTGTCCGGGCAGGAGAGCACCTGTACTGACTACGGCGATTGCTGCTTGTCACGGAGATTGGAAGTCAGAGTGGGAGGCTGACTCTCTTTGCCAGCCTTGAAACAAATGAGATCACAGCTTTTTAAATATTGAAATGGGGGTATTGAGCTCCTCATGTTGGATTAATAAGAAATCTGTATCTCCATATAAGATGTCTTTTCACCCCCTGAATTGTTAGTGACCCAGAGCCTCTCAGTTCAGAAACTAGCTACTACTGGTAGTAGCAGCAGTAGCAACTACTACTGAGAGTAGTTTTAGAGTGCTACTTCATCAGCAGCTTTAAATACCACACAACTGTATTTCTAATTGCCTGCTCATTACTTAAAGTTTCCTTGTCAAAACTAGGCTCATTCTACCCTGTTCCCCTACAGCACATGTGTCAAACACAAGGCCCGCGGGCCAAATCCGTCCCACCAGGCCTTGCAATGTGGCCCGCACCGCGCTGTCATCACTGCACTCCGCTGCATTTCCATCACAATGACAGTTTATGACTGTTCAGTAAACCATTCGGCCTGCGATTTAGGCTGGATTTTAGATTTTGGCCCCTTCTCTGATTGAGTTCGACACCCCTACCCTACAGTCTTTTTTCCTAATTTTCTGACTGGTATTAGTATCCATCAGTCACCTCAGCTAGAAATGTTGGAGTTATCTTTAGTAGATTCTTACTCTTCAGCACCCCAACCCCCAGCCCAGATCATACACATCCAGTTGCCCTGAGGGACACCCAGCCTGTCTGCTCTAAGAAGCTCCCCCCAGGAAGCCCTTCTTCCACCTTCCCCACATCTCTTCACTTTTCTCTTGTTTTACTATTTTCTGCCCTTTATTTTTTTAAATATTTTATTGATTTTTTATAGAGAGGAAGAGAGAGGGATAGAAAGTTAGAAACATCAATGAGAGAGAATCATCGATCAACTGGGGATGTGCCCGCAACCAAGGTACATGCCCTTGACCGGAATCGAACCTGGGACCTTTCAGTCTGCAGGCAGATGCTCTATCCATTGAGCCAAACTGGTTTCGGCATATTTTCTGCCCTTTAAAAGTCCTCACAGTCAGATAGACTGTAACTCTCTGAGGAGTGAATCCGTCAGGGGGGCCTTGGCCGCTTCTGTCCTTCATAGCACTCTTCCTTCCTCCATGGTGCCCAGGTCCTATTTGTTGTTTGGTTTTTGTGTTTATTTTGGAAGAAATGTTTTTAAACATTGCAGGGGGCAGCCCACAGCCAGAATCTCCCTTTTCCACTCTTCCCTTCTTTCCTCCACTCAGCCTGCAAAACTCACATTGTATTTTCAGTCTCATGATTTTCAGAGGTATAGCTTCTGGAACTAGGAGAGTAAGGTTATGTGCTCTTAGAAAGTTCCAGATTCCTCTAGACTCTCCCCCCCCCCCCCCCCCCCCCCCCCCCCCCCCTGCCTCACAGTGCTTTATCATAGCATCGGTCACCTTTGAAAAGAGAGTGTCCCGTGTGCGGGATGTGCAGGTGGGGAAGCAGGCTGGCACTGACCCAGCCAGGGAGAGTGTGGCCTCGCCATGCAGCTCTTGCCAGGGAACCAGGAGGGCGGGGGCTGGCAGCCCCCTGGCAGTGCCAGCGAAGACCAGTGTGCTGCAGCCTTGGTGGGTGCACAACGTGCATGGTCTAGAAGATCGAGGACAAGACCCCTGCAGGAAAGGAGCTGCTTCTTGTCCAAACCATGCTGCTAGCCAGCCAGGAAAGTATGTGTTTGGGTGCTGGAACTGACACCACGTTCGCCTGTAGGTTTGTCTGCCAGAATTCCTCCGGGAGCGCCTCCAGACACGCCCTGTTCTAGACATCTTGAAGAGGCTGTAAATTCTACCGGCTGCGTCATTTCAGTCGTGCTTGGTCATTCTCATAAAGTTTGGAACAGGATTTATTGTTTCTAAACTGTGATCTTTACAGGTGTTTGATATAAAAATGGTTCTGTTACAAACTAAAATACTTATCCTCTCAAGCATGTAGCAGCACATAACAATACTGTAAATTTGGAAATCTATGTAATGCCTGTATTCACCCATGATAGATATTAAAAGTAGAATTAATATTCATATTGCCATTTTTAAAAAGGAAGGTACTTATTTCCAAACAGAACATAAAAGTTTCCTTAAACCCCTGGGCAGCGCTGGGCCGAGCCCTAGTTCTAGGGGCATCTCCCCTGTGAGTTGGGCTGAGAAAGACAAAGCCTTCCTCCTGTGCCTCGATGTCTCTCTGCTCCTGCTCTGTCACCTCTGAGGGCGATGTCTCCGCCGACTGTGTCCTCCTGCCCTGCTGCTGTGCCAGCAGCCTCAAAAAGCTCTGCGTCTCAGGCCCTGAGCCAGCGCCACACATTCTCCCTGGTGTCTGCACCCGGCTGCCCGCAGGCTTGGCCCTTGCAGGGGGATGGCTGCAGCAGCTCCCAGGAGGGGGTTTCAGGCTGCAGTCCCATCCTCCCTTCTCCCCTCGTCTGCCTCAGCTGCTTCCTTGTGATGCCGTCACCCAGAAAACACTCCCAAGAAGGAATTTTAAGTGTGCCCCAGATGAAAGGCGCTCAGGAAATCTTTACCATAAGGAAATTTGTCCAGAAAGAGATGAAACTGAGATGCATCAGGAATATAATTGGTTTCTTCAGGCCATAGCCAATTCCTTTGCCTTTAATTTTCACGGACTACTTCGTATCTAGAATCTTGTATCAGGAAGCCGTAATTTTTGCCATTTCCAGAGACGGGGTGGTGGCATTTTTTATAGTGGACTATTTTTTCTTTTGCTAATTTACAGTGCTCTCTTTTGCCCTGCTCCCATTAGGAGGTGAAAGCATGGAAATTAAAAAACAAATTACAGGAATGAGAAGATTGCTGAATGACAGCACTGGGAGGATCTATCAGCGTGTTGGCAAGGAAGGAGAGAAGTTAAAAGAAGAACCCCAGGATTTGGACTCGGTCTGGCCTCAGCGTTTGAACTCCTCTGCTGAGGCCCCCCCGAGCCTCCCCCCTTCTTCTCGGGGTGCTTGGAGTGAGTTCCCGGCCCAGAGCGGCCAGTTCTCAGGGCAGCCTGGCCCCCGCTCGAGAACCTTCCAGAGTCAGCCCCACACTGCTGGGAGCTCCAACGGTAGGTATGACTGATAAACAGACATTCAGAATGCACTTATGGGGGGCTGTCCGAATGTTGTTTTATTCCTAAATGTTCACTTAAGGTTTTCAGTAGGTTCTTGGAAACTTTTTAAGCATAAGAAATGAAATCAGTTTTACTATAGTCTGATATAAACAAGAGATAAGTTCCTATGACCTATTTCTTATCACAAAAGCACCACCAAACTTGCAAGACCCAAAAGACTTCTAATATTAAACATTGAAGTAAATATAAGTTATTCCATACATTTAAGAAAGGTTATTAAAAATAAGTAAGAGCCGAAACCGGTTTGGCTCAGTGGATAGAATGTCAGCCTGCAGACTGAAGGGTCTCACTTTCGATTCCGGTCAAAGGCTCGTACCTTGGTTTCAGGCACATCCCCAGTAGGGGGTGTGCAAGAGGCAGCTGATCAATGATTCTCTCTCATCAATGTTTCTAACTCTCTATCCCTCTCTCTTCCTCTTTGTAAAAAATCAATAAAATATATTATAAAAGAAAAAAAAAGGTAAGAGGGTGCTTTGCCAACCCCCTGACTGCAGATCAGGGCCACTTGTGGCCAGAGCCCTCCTCAGCAGCTCAGGTCACAAAGCAAGGATTAAGGACACCATTAATCCTAGAGCCTCACAGAGCCCACTCTCACTCAGACTAGAACAATGTAGACACACCAGTGAACTTCAGGTACTGAACACTTTGAGATGTGGGTGGAAACAAGTCCCTGGAAAAACCCACGCAGATACCAGGAGAACATGCCAACTCCACACAGATAGTGGCCCAGACCTGGAATCAACTTCTTTCTCATCAACATTATAAGAAAACTAGAGGCCCAGTGCACAAAACGCATGCACTTGGGGGGGGGGGTCTACGCTGGCAGCTGGGAGTGGTCTAAGCTGGCTTAGGATTTAGCGCTGCTGTGGAGGTGGGAGAGATTCCCACCACCGCTGCTGTACTAGCCAGCTGTGAGCCAGGCTTCTGGCTGACCAGCGCTCTCCTTGTGGGAGCACACTGACCACCAGGGAGCAGCTCCTGCATTGAGCATCTGCCTCCTGGTGGTCGGTGAGCATCACAGTGACCACTTGTTCCACTGTTCGGTCAATTTGCATATTAGCCTTTTATTATATAAGATGGTCTTTGGTTGATTACCTCCCACCCTCCCACGATCAGGGCCAGGGAGCGACTACAGGAGAGATCCAGGGCATGTCTGGCCCATCTCACTCAGTCCCAATCGGCTGGACCCCAGCAGCAAGCTAACCTACCAGTCAGAGAGTCTGCCCCCTAGTGATCAATGCACATCATTGTGACTGGTAGACCTGTCCACTGTCGGCCCCCTTGTTCAGTGTACATCATAGTGAGCAGCCTTAGCATATCATTAGCATATTATGCTTTGATTGGTTGAATGGATGACTGGACAACTAGACACTTTGCATATTAGGCTTTTATTATATAGGATGGCATGCGTTGAGGACCTGCTGTACATTAAGCCCTCCCTTAATCACCTGCCTTAGCTCTTATTTCAAAAGACAGGGAAGACATAGTGGAGAAGTTGCAGACTATAGGATACCAGTATTGAGAAGCAGGGAAGAATGGGGGTTCTATAGTAGAAGCGGTGATTTCTTGTAGAGATTTTAGCCCATCATTGTTGATGGATCATTATTGTCACAAAAGACTGAACATTAGGGCAGAAAGAGCTCCCTTTTGTCATTAAAAGAAGCTTCCTGGTCATATGGTGTATTATTCATATATCCTCTTGCTGACATGGTTGCTTTTTTTCATTATCAGAGGAGTCTGATATAGGGAGGACTGATAACCTAACACCCTAGTACCTTCATTTTAACTTCACAGTCCAGCTACTGAACCAAATCATTCATAGTTCGTAACTTGTTTCATTAGAGTTGAAATTTAGCCCTTTAAAGTAACATTTTCTTAATTTAAAATTTTAATTGTTTACAGAAATCAAATGGGAGTGTTTCAAAGCTTAAGAGAGAAAAATGGGTGATTTTTTTTGTTTAGTTATGTTCATTTCTATTCATAGATATTGGGTGTAACTTGTTCTATAAATTATGTATAGATGTGCAGTTCTATAGTTCACACAAAGAAAACAAGAAAAAGTAATGCATTTTTCTTTTCCTTAACAAAGAATTTTTCCTCATCTATTATCCTTTAAGATTAAGAGAACTGTTTTGATTGTTGTTTTTTAAGCACAGTTTCCAGTAACCAGTTCAGATGCATGAAAAGCCACCCTGAGACAGTGGTGAAGGGACAGCAAGGGACCCCACGAGATGTACTGGTGTCTTCTGTTTCCCTCAATATTACATAAGTCAGTATCAGATTCACAGGCTGGCATGCTTCCAGGTTGGAGAGAGGTGACTCTTGAAAGACTCCTCCATAAAAATAAAAAGGCAGTTCTCTTTCAAATTTGAAAATGATTTATAACACACTGAAAAGAGTTGGTTTGTCCTCTAAAAAGAATAAAGACAGTACTTAAAATAGTGACTAGAAATATTCTACAGGCCCTCCTGGTTCTTTAGCCATGAAAGAAACGAAAGAGAAATAAGATGCCCTCAGATGTGGATAGAGTTAGTACACCTCACATCAGTACGTTTTGGGCTAACAGAGTTTGGTTTCCAGTACACAACAAGGAAGGTGCATTTTCTTTGGAAAATATGTTAAAAGCTGCAAACATAAATTCCCTCATATTCATTTGAAAATAAAGCTTTTCTGTTTATTTTCATATTATTATATATAACTGTGACTGATATGTCATTAAAATTATTTGTAATTTTAAGGTGTTATAACATCTCAGTTTGCTACAACTTTGAATGTAAATAATTGTGCTATTCCAAACATTAAGTTATCTTTAAGTATTTCATAGTTTTGCTGTAGTGAATTTTTCTTTTGTATCCACATTTTATAGAGTTTAGATTATATGTAATATATAATAAAAGATGTAACTGACCAAAACCTATCTTAGAACTTACTCTTCCAACCATGGAAAAACCCGAAGTGATAGTAGTGTCTTACACAGTCCACTTTGTGGTAGTGGGTTGGATACTGATGCAGCAGGACCACTGAAACAGTGATTTTCCAAATGTTCCATTTTATTCTAAGGAGAATAAAAAATAATTTTATTTTTTTTTACTTCTAAGGGAAACAGAATAGGGTTGATATTTTAAGGAAATTGTATTAGATTTAAACAGTTAAAATAGTCTAAAATGAGGGAAATCTGAGAAATGGGAATGAAAAAAATATATAGGATCATTGCCTTTATTAAGGTGGAGAAAAGCCAGTACAAGTTCACATGCCCTCCCATCCTCTGCTCTCCTACTCTTCCCCACCCACACACCATACTCAGAGAGGGCCTAAAAGTTTTAATGTGTTGACAATTCTTAATTTTTGAAATAGCATGCTTAACACTAAGACTATTTTATTAAGAGTTAGACACATTTCATTCTTAACTGGAACCTTTATAACACATGCAGCTCCCGGGTTTTTTGTAAGGTGGTCCTCAGATCTAGATTTTTGTGCAGAATAGCGTGAGCACGTTTCTAGTGAAGTTTTAAGCTATTGTTATCTGAGATGAACTGGTGTGACAAGAGGGAGGCCTGCTGGGACCGCGCATGGTATGCAGATGTTCCTGCGGCTCCACCACCCGTGAAACCGCAGGAACCTTATAACACAGAGGAGCCTGGATAATTAGATAAAGTCAGACCCCCACATTTAAGTTGTGAAAATTATTGGGTACGTGTTCCTTAGGCGCAGTCTCATAATTGCACAGGCTTCAAAGTCCTGTCAAGATACCTTTTTTCTCTTTATAGTTTTGGTATTGTTTGGAGTATGTCATTCTTTTCTTTCGTGCCTTAGGAGAACTTCCAGTGGTAAATTCATCAGTTGGATCAAACTGCTGCACTTGTAACTGCCAGTCAACATTGCAGGCCATTCTCCAAGAACTCAAGACCATGCGGAAATTAATGCAAATTCAAGCAGGTACAATGATTACACATCAGATCAAGTCCTCTGATTCTTTTTTAAAAAATATAGTTTATTGATTTTTTACAGAGAGGAAGGGAGAGAGATAGAGAACTAGAAATGTCGATGAGAGAGAAACATCGACCAGCTGCCTCTTGCACACCCCCTACCGGGGATGTGCCCGCAACCAATGTACATGCCCTTGACCGGAATCGAACCTGGGACCTTTCAGTCGGCAGACCTACGCTCTATCCACTGAGCCAAACCGATTTCGGCCAAGTTCTCTGATTCTTAATGCATGGCTGACATCTTCAGTTGGGATGTTTTTTATTGTGCTTTTATTGTTGAGTTCTTCCCTCTGCTGTCTTGCTATTATTTTTTAAGTATCCATTTTCTTAGCTTTTCTTCCAACCTATTTTCCTTTTAGAACATCTAACAAAATGTGTATTGCTAAGAATACTAATCCTTTACTTAAGTACATGTGCTCTGCATACCTCAATCCCTGATCTCCATCACCTCACGTGTCAGTTCTTTTTTTATTTTATTTAGTTCATTATGTTCTGAAACAGTTCTACATGAAGGGAGCAGAGTTCTTCAGCTCATTGTCCGAATGTGAACGGACCAAGGTTCCGATCAGGAAAGAAAAGGAGCTGCCTCATCTGGCCCCTCGCGGTGCTCAGTTTGGTGGCTGCCTGCATCTTGACCTCCACTCCTGCACGAGTCCCTTTGGGGCTTGGCATGACAGTGTGGAAGCCACACAGTGCGGTCGGTGTGGAGGAGGCCTTTGGGAAGCATGGACCCTGCTGGTTGGTGGCTTTTCTCCCTAACATTCAGGACATAGGAGCTCAGGCATGGCTTACCTTCTTCATTTACCTGATGCCTTTTTTGTCCTCACTCCTCTGAGGCTGAAGAACTCCTGTGCAACTTCTCTGAGCCTCAGATTTCTCCCCTGTCTCCGGAGTACTAACCTCTCACTCTCAGGGCTGTTTTCAAAGGGGAATGAGATAGTAAATGAATTCTGTTAGGCATGGCACAAGTGTAAGCAGTTTGTTAGTGTTGTTATACAAACCACAGAGCATTTCATAGAAGCCTAGATCTTGATGATAGCAGCTCTGTTTTCTAATCTTCACAATTAGGGGGGCAAAACAGAACTTTTTTGTTAGAGGTATGTACTAAAAATAATCTATCATTTTATTAACTTTTCCTCTTGTCAGGGAAAACAGCTCCTTGGCCTTGGCCTAAAGCAGGAAATAGTACACTGATGTGTGACTAGCATTCCCCTCCTTTCATTGTAAAGGTATTCATGAAGGTCATGGTTCAGAAATTGTACATGGTGCCTTTTAGTGAATTCTAGTAAAACTTTACTTTTTAATGATATGGTTTTGATATTAAAAAGCTTACTACTTAAGACATCTCAGTCACCCAGGATCACATAAAAGTAAGGTGACCCAGTGGTTGAGCATTGGCCCGCACACCTATGGATTGCGGGTTTGATTCCTGTCAAGGGGTTGTACCTCGGTTGCACATTTGATCCCTGGCACTGATTAGGGCACATGCAGAGGCAGCCAATGTGTCTCTTTGTCATCGATGTTTCTCGCTCTTCTCCCTCTCTCTCTGGATGCAAGAAACTTTGACTATGTCTAGACTTGCAAAAGGAGAAGAAAACTGATAGTCCCTGTGTTGAAACCAAAAATATGTTCACTTTTAATTTAAAATAGTCTTCAAGAGGCGTGTATTCTAGACTATCTTGATAATTGCTTTAATAGTCCACTTGACTTTGGGGAAAATTCAGAGAGAAGAGAGAAAAGTTCTCTACTCTGGCTTGCACATTAGAATTTCTTGAGGAGCTTTAGAAAAATCTCAGTGCATGGGAATCACCCTGGAAATTCTGATTTAATTAGTCTGGGGTAAGGCCGAGGCACTGACATTTTTTTCAAGCTCCAAGGTGATTGTAATGTACAGCCAAGGTAAAAAAAGACTATAAGCTCAAAGAATTACTGCATGGGTGATTAAAAACTTTTCAGTTTATATGCAGTATAAGTAGTTTGTTTCCAACAGTTAAAATTTATTTATAGGCTAGAGATGAAAATATCAAATTTAAAATGTAAATATTGTTTATTTGCAAGCTGATGGGAAATGATCTATATTTACTTGCATTTAAAGATATTCAGTTTTCATTTGACATATTTATAGGTATATTTCTACAAAAAGGCAGGTCACATTTAGTAAGCCTTATTAACACATGAAAATTTCATATTTTTCCTTTAACTTTTCCATGAGAGTATTTTTAAATGGTTAAAAGACATTACTTCTCAAAGTGCACCTGAAAAAAACCCCACTATAATTACCATCCTTTTTTCTTTAAGTATATTTTCAGTATTAGTTCTTAGTTCTTGTTCAGTGCTTTTTGTCTTTGGAACACAAACTATTTCTGGATTTTACTCATTTGCTTGATGCGTGTAGGACTGTATTATTTCTATTTTCAGCCACATAAAACTGAGGTGTGGAGAAGTGGCCAGTCTGAGCCAGCAGTGTAGTGCGTGGAGATAGTTGATGTCTGTGAGGAAGGAGTTTCAGGGCCTGACAAACAACCAGCAGGCTTTGCCCACATGCTTGCTGGTACATGTGTACTGGTCGTTCCAGACTATTCATTTGCTCAGACTTTCCCAAGTGATCATCCTTGTCCAGTCTTTGTCCATTTTAGTGCTAGCAACTGATCAGTTTAACCCCAAATGACAATTGAATATTCCCGAGACTGGCTTCCCAGGAAATATGGTTATCTACACTTCAGTTTAAGTTATGGAGTTCTCATTTATAACAACTAGAGGCCTGGTACACAAAATTTGTCCCTCAGCCTGGCTGCACCCTCTCTCAATCTGGGACCACTGGCTTCTAACTGCTAGTCTGCCTGCCTGCCTGCCTGCCTGCCTGCCTGCCTGATAGCCCCTAACCATTCACCTTCTTGCCTCATCGCCCCTAACCACTCACCTGCCTGCCTCATCGCCCCTACTGCTCGCCTGCCTGCCTGATCACCCCTAACCACCTCTGCCTTGGCCCCCACCGCCATGGCTTTGTCCAAAAGGACGACCGGAATGATGTCCAGAAGATCATTTGACTATCCAGTCTAATTAGCATATTATAGACTAGTGGCCCAGGGCACGAAATTTATGCACAGAGGAGGGTTGTCCCTCACCCCAGCCTGCACCTTCTCTAATCTGGGACCCCTCAGGATCAGGCCTAAACAGGCAGTCGGACATCCCCCTCGCAATTCGGGACCACTGGCTCCTAACTACTCACCTGCCTACCTACCTGATCGCCCCTAACCACTCTGCCTGCCAGCCTACTCGCTCCCAACTACCTGCCCTCACTAGCCTTCTCACCCCCAACTCCCCCCCCCCCCTTGCTGGCCTGATTGTCCCTAACTGCCCCCCCCCCCGCCAGCCTGCTCGCCCCCAATTGTCATTCCCTCCTCCCCACCCCCCCAACCCCCTACCCCCGCTGGCCTGATCGCCCCCACCTGCCCCACCCTACCAGCCTGCTCACCCCCAACTACCCCCTCTTGCTGGCCTGCTTACCTTACATCCAGCTGCCCTCCCTGCTGACCTGATCATCTCCAACTGCCCCCCACTGCCAGCCTGCTCACCCCCACTGGCCCCCCTGCTGGCCTGCTCACCCCCAACTGCCCCTTCCCCCACCGGCCTGATTATTCCCAAATGCCCTCCCCTCCTGGCCTGATCACCCCTAATCTCCTCTGCCTTAGCCCCACCACCATGGCTTTGTCTGGAAGTATGTTCGGAAGGACTCCCAGAAGGTCCCCCAGTCTAATGAGCATATTACCTTTTATTATATAGATGCCATATGAGTGTAAAGTCACGCTCAGATGTTTCCTCATAGCTCATCATTGAACCCGGCAGTAGCTATACGATCGATTACTCACCAGCATCTGCAGCAGAGTTCTCTCTTGGGTGTTTTCCTGCTTGTAGAACTGTGAGGTGCTCCAGAGCCTTTATTTGGCAAAGCCAGGTCCTGCGTGCTCTATGTGGTGTGCTCCATCCTTGAGTGAGCCCCATTAAAGCCTCAGCCAGTGGACCATGCAGATAGACAGTGATACATTTCCCCAAGTTGGACACAAGTGCCTGTACCATGTTTTTGTTTATTGTTCACAGTTGGAACCCCAAACCGACAACAACCCCCAATTTCCCTTGTATGCTCCCAGCGAACTGCTGTCTCACGCAAGAGAAACAAAAAGAAAAAAGTGCCCCCAAAGGCCGCTGAACTTCTTACTGTGAAGCAGAAGCCCAGTGTGGTAGAGACTGCGAAGAAGACAGGGGTGGCCTCAGAGCCGTCGGCCCCCCAGGCAGCTGAGCGCACCTCCTCAGGGGAGAACCACGTCCTAGGGTTTGGCATTGTTCTGGAATCGCCTTCCTCAGATGTAAGTTGATGTTTTCTGGCTGCTGACTCTAATGTGACATAACTGTTAGGAATTTTCTCAAATACTATGTTTCCCCCTTAACTCATGCTGCCCAGGCAAACTGGGAAAAACTTGCAGAATACATGTGGGAAAGAGGGAAGGAAGACGATGAATAATTTCCTTGCCTAGAATTTTCCCTTCGGAAAATCTTATGCCTTATTTAAACTTGTTTTCATTCTGTACCTCTGAAAGAAGGGTGAGGGAGTAATCTACTCACTAATTTCTTTAACATTTTTAATTTTGAAGTGGCCATTTTCAATTTCCTCAGTGTAGAGCTAAAAGAACATAATTAAATCCTTTGTAGATAGGCATAAATGAATCAAACTTTACAGAACAGGTCACACCTTTCTACAAACACAAACTAATAATAAAAAAGGAGCAGCAGTGCTAATTCTATTTTATAGATGCAAGCAACACTGCTAATTAGGCTGCAGTGCCATGTCATTTACTCTATGTAATGATAGTTAATGCTCTGCAAAGGTTTTCTATTTTAATATCATAGCCAGAATATTGTTGCAAGTCCAAAATGTTGGATGACATCTGAGATATCTATCTGACTTGCCATTTTATATTCAATGACCATAAACTAATTTTGTTAATAATGTGCTAAATGTGCAATTGCATACTCTCTTTATAATATCTAAGAGCATTGGCATTTCTAACACAACTTACCGGGAGAGTTCTTAAAATAAACAAGAGTGAGTGATCTGTTACTATCAGATTGCATAGAATGAGAATCCTGCTGAGAATCCCATAGATGTATGTGGTGTTGGAGTTTGGACCTACCTTTTAAGTGAGAAATAAATTGCTGTTTTAAAAAAGTGTTCTCTTTCACATTTCACAGGAAGACAGTTTGCTAGCCTATATTCATGTTGGGTCTTAACAAAGGGGGGGGCGTGCAAAAAAAATCATCTTGTGACTTCTTTAGAGTAGAAAATCATTCGAACTTTAATTCAGTCCTCAGTGTCAAAGGTTTTTTTGTTTTAATTTTTTGTTTATGAACACATGCTATAATTGTTCAGAAATTTTTCTAGACTAAAACTTAATTTTAATATATTTTATTGATTTTTCTTACACAGAGGAAGGAGAAAGATAGAGAGCTAGAAACGTAGATGAGAGAGAAACATCGACCAGCTGCCTCTTGCACACCCCCTACCGGGGATGTGGCCACAACCAATGTACATGCCCTTGACCGGAATCGAACCTGGGACCTTTCAGTCCGCAGACAGACGTTCTACCGCTGAGCCAAACCGGTTTCGGCCTAAAACTTAATTTTAAAATATTAATGATGATAATGTTATACTCTAGACCAGTCAGCTCCTTTGATTAAAGCATATTGTTTTGAAACTAACGCTCTGGTCAAAACCCATGTAGATCACATATTTGGAAATAGAGGTACATTATTCCATAACACAAAATATATTCAATCATAAGTTTTCTTAATACCTTTATTTTTTAGCATTCTTTTCTGATAGGCTTTGTTGTATTAAGAGCAGTCAGTTAAGTTGTATAAATCATCTCCTAATGCTAATAACTGAACCTTCTCCTTTTTTAATTTTTATGCTCCAAATAATCTTCACCTGTGCAATGTGTCCCATCAGTGGATAAAGAAATTCTGTCCACAGATAGTGCTCAGTGGCATTCATGGGTGGAGGAAATTGACTCCCTTGGCTGTTGGGACCATCAATGCTAAGGCATCCAAACTTAGTGCCTTTTAGCCTTACTATTTCTTAGCCATGAATCTTTTAAAATTTGGTGGAAGTCCAGAGGAAAAAACCAATTATGTAATACTCTTAAAGGAATCTTTCTATAAAACAGATTGGAGAAAATACAATTGGATATATATAAGTGGGTGGGAAATGTGTATTTAAAGATGGACTCTGAAAAGTACACAGCATTGGGAGAAGTAGATCCAGAGTTGTAGGACTGGGCAAGTGGTAGCAGATAATGATGTAAAAGTAGGGCAGGGCCAGATACTGAAGGACATATAATGTCTTGCCATTGCCCGTGGTCTTAATCTTATGGGCACTAGGGAACTATTGTAAGTTTCAAGTAGAGAAATAATCATACCTGTGTTTCAGAATGGAAAGTGGAACAACCTGTTGTGGATGGAGAGAAGATACTAGACACAAAGAGACCAGATAATGACAGTCAGCCAGGCAAGAGATTGGGAGGGTCAGTATATAAGCAGTGAGCCTGACGAGAAAACATGAGAGACATTTAGGAGGTACCCGACTAGGAAGTAACCCCCAATTTCTGTCTTGGAAAACTGGGCTGCTTACATGCTTACTAGATGGTCCTGACTTCTTTAATTGAGATAGGAAAAGAAAGCAGCAGCAGCCTTCAGCTCCGGATGGGAAGTAAAAGTTTGGAGGGCAGGAGAAAGATTAGAGCTAGAAGCAATGAAATATGACACATAAAACCTATGCTATATTACCTTTTTCAGTGTAAAAAATTCTGTACATTTTAAAAATTAATAATGTTTTTTTTTATGCTGTGACTTTTAGAGAGACCCAAATATAAATTTGTATCTCTATGCACAAACACAAACCTAAGCACACATGTAGGGCCATAGATGGTTGCAGGTAGAACATTGATAATGATTACCTGTGTTCAAAGGCAGAAAAAACAGTGAGCTCTAATCACAGCCAACTGCAGTGTCAATGTCTCAGTCTTGGGAACAGGAAATGATATAGAGTATGTGGGAAAATCCTATTGCTGTGCCTTGCGTATAAAAGGTACTTAGCAAAGGTTACTTAGTCTACATGTGATGAAACATCTGCATTTGCATTAAGCACAATATCTATCTATATAAAAGGCTAATATGCAAAGTGTCCTCTTGGGAGTTTGACTGGGAGCCAAGAGTTTGATCACTTGCTTTGACGTGCGCTGACTACCAGGAGTGGACACTGAATGAAGGAAGGCCCCGGCCGGCAGCTGGCAGTCACAGTCAGGAAAGTAAGGCCCCAGCCAGCAGCTTGAAAGCCCTGGTTAGCCCTGATTGCCAGTCAGACCTACCCTACCTGTGCAAGAATTTCATGCACTGGGCCTTAGTATAAAATAAACATATGACACTTTGGGTCTAGGACTTGGCTTTAATTTAGAACTTCCCCTCAATTTAACTCCCATTTTCTCCTCTTTCCTTGTTACTGCCCTCTCCCCAACCCCCAAGGCACCAGTATAATTTCAACAGTCTTTCCTTCTGGAACTTTCTATATTGGTTTGTAATATTTGTTTACGATCCTCTGCTAAATAATTTCTCACATTTCTTCCTTACTCTGAGGCATGATTATTATAGACAAGGACACCGTGTCATAAAAGACTTAAAGCACAAGTTCACATATCCAGAAGAGTGGAGCTGGTTCTCAAACCCAGGTCTGCAGTGAGCCCTTATCTGAGTGAGGCTCAGGCACCTGCCCTAGCACATTTCTTATACATACTTAACGTTTAGTAGCTGTTCATGGGATGACTGCTACACGAAGGGGAACTGGAAGGTTAGACTACAACTGTGTATTCTCTTTACTTAGGAGTTTCTGGGTAGGAGAATGGTGAAGGGTACAGGCTCTGAAATCAGGCTTCCTGGGCTAGAAGCTCAGCTGTGTGACCCTGAGCAAGTACACCTACCCTCACCTTCCTCAGCTTTCCCTCCATAAAATGGGCATAGTGATAGTTCTGGCCTCACAGAGCTGGCCTGATGGAAGAATTAAATGAAGTAATCTATGTAAAATTTTTTGAATAGTACCTGGTAAATTTCAAGCTCCCAGTAAATACTGATTCTTTTTAAACTTTAGTAGTCCTAGCTAAGTATCTTTAGAGGGATGAGTATAAATATTTGTTAAGTAAATTTATGTTTGCATATAAATGAACAAATATACATGAACAAATTGTGGGGTTTTTTTTAAATGAGTGGCCAGAAATGTTTCTCTTTGGGGGCAGGATTATGTGACCCAAATTAATTAGCTCATTAAACAAAATTGAAATCTAAATTACACCAACACAAAAGCAGAAACCCCAAACCAAACTTTAGATTTAAGTATAATATTTAATTCTTTTTTGACATATGTAGTACAACCCAATAATCTAGTAGTATTCAGACAAGACAGTTGTGAATTTTTTACAGTTCCTTTTTTGTCCTGCTTAGTTGGATATATTGGTTTGTGTTTTTTAGGGCAGATGTACATGGCTTAGGTTTGTTCCATTGTTGTTGCTTCTTGTTTGGCTTGGTTATTTGGCTTTGGTGAAACACTAGAATCAGTTTTTTTAAAAAAATAATTTTAAATGTTTTTTTAAAACATAAAAAACACTTTTCTATTTTTGTAATAACAATGAATATTTTTCAGTAAATCCTAAATTACACAAAAGTTATCGGAGGATAAATCTAAAGACATCTATCAATTTAAGATATTTTTGTTAGTGTTTCTTTTACATCATTATTAAATAATTTAAAATGCATTGGTGCTTTCAATAGAAGTGACTTCTGAATTTAGAATCTGTTTTCTTAACTTCTGCTTAGCACAATAAATAAAGCAATTCACTGGGAACTAGTAAAGCAAATCAACCAGGCAAGCCGTTTTTAAATTTATTCATTGACACATTGAATTAAGGCAATATATGCTTGTTAGTGTAAGTTCCAGCCAAGACTGCCTGGGTTCAAATCCTTACCTCATTACTTATTAGTTGGGTAATTTTTATGTTACCTAATGTCTCTAAACTTTAGTTTTTGCATCTGAAAGTTGGGGATAATAATAGTAGCCACTTTATAGGCTGAGAGTTAAGTTAGGAAACCCATGGAATGTGTGTTACTAGGGCCTAGAATATAGTAAGTAACAAATAGTAAGCCAGTCTGAAACTTGCCTAGCTGGCCTGCCAAGTATGCAAACTCTTATGTCTAATTTATTAACTTACAATTAAAAATCTGGGGCTAGGGCCCACTCTGAATATTTAGACATTTATTTTTACTT